TACAATGAGAGACTGCGGGACCTGAACCTGTTCAGCCTTCACAAGAGAAGGCTGAGGGGGGACCTGGTGACAGTCTATAAACTCACTAGGGGGGACCAGAAGGGTTTGGGAGAGACCTTGTTTCCCCGAGCGCCCCCTGGCATAACAAGGAATAACAGTCACAAGTTGTTGGAGAGGAGGTTTAGATTAGACATCTGTAAGATCTACTTCACAGTCAGGGCGGCTAGGATCTGGAACCAACTTCCAAGGGAAGTGGTGCTGGCTCCTACCCTGGGGGTCTTTAAGAGGAGGCTTGATGCCTACCTAGCTGGGATCATTTGAGCCCAATTTTTCTCCTGCCCAGGCAGGGGGTTGGACTTGAAGATCTACAGCGTCCCTTCCGACCCGACTTCCATGATTCTATGATGATTCTATGAAAAGCCGAGTGCAGGGAAAAATGGCTCCTCCCCCACCCCGTGGCTGGATGTCCCTGCTGCAGCCATTCACAGCCCACGGGGCTGTCCGGAGCAGGCACAGGCAGCCCCATGCGGGGCAGCAGGCATGGGGAGGGTGAGGGTCCACTTTCCCCCTGCCCGCGCTCTGCTTTTCCCCAGGCCACTTTTCCCTGGGCTCCTTCCCTGCCCAGGGTCCTCCCTGGCCCTCCCCCCACCCTTCCCCCTTACCTGTGGTTTTGGCATGGGGCAGCCACGTGGTCCTAGGCCAGAAGCCCCTTCTGGCACTTCCAGCTGCGGGGGCGGGGCTGGGGCCGGGGCCCTGCTGTTGTGGGAGCCTGCTGGGCTTCCCCTGGGTCCTACTGCCCTTGGTTCCTGTCATTTTTGATAGGAACCAAGGGCAGAAGAATATTAATTTTCTAAATTTTTTAAGGGCCCTGCGGGCTGGATGGAATGGCCTCGCAGGCCATATTTTGCCCACCCCTGGGCTAAGCAATGCAAATACTACTGTTATAATAACTGACCAACAATGTCTTAGTCAAGGCTACTCTGAATGTAGACATGGCCAAGCTGGGGAAGAGAAGGAATTGTACAGTTTTGTACCAAACAGGGAATGTGTTTATAGCCCCAAGCAGTAGCCAGAACAATAATCACAGTCTCCACGGCTATATCCTAAACAGTACAAATGAACCACCACAGGGCTAGTTAGTCCAGTGAGAGCTGAGGCTGGTTTGTATCTGACAAGATGAGACATGGGGGTCAGATAGTTGCTTTATAGTTTGTGAAACTAGCTCCTTCCATATCAAAGCACTCTGTAAATGGTAGGCTCGCTCTCTCTCTCTCTCTTTTGAATGGCATCAGATAGCAACTTCCACATCTATGAGCCACTGCCTCGTGTTATCACTCACTGTGCAGATTTCATCTGCCCCATCTGGGTATTTGTAAAGATTGCAGATTTTGGTTAAATGCTGTGCTGTTTGCTGGACACCACATTCACACACGGGGCTGCCCAAGATGTTCATCTTGTACAGCATCGTTCTGAAGTGTCTTCATCTAGATCTCAGTCTGTTCAGTTTGAGCCACGCTTCTCTGTGAAGGTGGTGCCCAATGGGGGATTTGTTTGGTGTTGGTAGAAGCTGCTGTAGGAATTGGTCCGGCCTTTCCCAGTGGTCAGCCCACTCGGTTGCTGCAAATAGGGAATAATCCAGCATTCCCCCCATCAGATACAGACAATAATTGTGCAGTCTTGCTCAATATAGGCACAATTTATAAAGGACGTCTTTTTTAAAAAACGTGTCCTTATTCTTGCCTCCCTTCACACTTTATCTTTTCTTTTTTTTATTTTGTTACCACAACATGAAATAAATACTTGGCTCCAGATCTTAATGTCTGCAGCTTTACAAAGGGAGAGATCATACTTTTTCAGAGTGGTTTGGAGATGGCAAGTGTTAGAAATGATCGTTAGCATTGCTATTTGATTACAGGCATGGCTGGCTGGCAGTTGAACATGGCAGTAACACTTTGAATCCCTTTATTTAGTACCTTCCTCTGAATGGAGAATTCATTATGGCATCTGGTGCAGGATTTGAAGCTTTTGATGGCAGCTTAGACCCAGGATGTGACACAGGTATGGTGTGCCCACTACACTTGCACAAGCAGCTGTAAATGTCATGCAAATTCAGCACAAAGACTTTTTATGAGGGGGACCTTTAATTATTCTACCTCAAAATCAAATGAAATAATAAGTCTTCCTTCCTTTTTTTAATATCCACCTTTCCTGTGTTGTCCTCCTTTCAATTAGAAGTTTCCAGCTAGCTCACTTGCCTTCTGAAAGAAAATATTACCAGGAAGACTTTGTAGTAATGGGAAAGAAAAGTAAATATTGCGTGTGCTTTGTTTTACCCTGTTTGTTATACACTGAACTGAATCAAAGTCCCCGTTTTTGTTACCCTCATACTTTTAACAAAAGGTTGTCCCTGAATTGTATACAGGGCACTGTGATTATTGATCTGAACCGCAACCAGCTGGAGGAATTTGGAATCTGGCCTATTAAG